AGTACCACCTCCTTGAACTCCAACCATGCCACTGAGTCTTCGCTCTTTTTTGCTTCTGATTCGGATTTTGATTTTCATCACCATTATCCGGGTTATAATACTTTGCTCCGTATTAGTAGTGGTTGCATTCAAGTTAAGGTTGTCCCCTGGTGTATCGGTAATTGTATCTTGTATGCAGGGACTTAAGAATTACCCCCATTTACAAACCTATAAATAAAAAAAAAAAAAAAATCAACATTAATGCAAAACCAATATGAATAATGTCAAACTATTACATTGCACACACACTCAAACCAATACTTGTACATTGCACACCAATATTAATTGTCACCATACATCCAACATTCATTTATTCTTTTATTAGACATTGATTTTGTATCATGTTTGATTAGTTTCATATGTTATATTATTTAGATTTACATGTCCTATTTTGAATTCATTAAAGTTGCATATATAAACTTCATTTATGTAAATAAATTGGAAGGGTACATAAATTGAATTGATTGAGCAATTTAATGCAAACCATATGAAATAAGTCAAACTATACATTGCACACCATCAAACCAATACATTTACATTGCACACCAATATTATTGTCACCAATACATCGCAACATTCATTTATTCTTTAATTAGAGACATTGTTTTTGTATCATGTTTGATTAAGTTTCACATGTTATAATATTTAGAATTTACATGTTCTATTTTGAATTCATTAAAGTGCATATATAAACTTAATTTATGTAAATAATTGAAGGGTACTAAATTGAAATTGAAATTGAACTTAATTTTATGTAAATAATTGGAAGGTACATAAATCTATGTGCTGCCATGCCTGCACAACACTGTTTTGCGAGAATATTTTATGTTTGCCGATAATATATGATGTTTGAATATGCAGGGAGATTGGCAATGTTGGCATTCTTGGGATTTGTAGTTCAACACAATGTGACAGGAAAAGGACCATTTGACACCATTGTTCAAACACTAAAGGGTTACTAAATCAACTGTCTTACTTTTGCAATCAATTTGAGTGAGATTTGAGCATCAATGTAAACATGGGACCTTTAATGTACAAGGGAACTTAGATGGCATTTATATTACAGTTTACATTACTTGCCCCAATTAAATTTTACTTTCTGTAGCAAGAATGAATACATACAAACACAAATGTCATCTACTCATATTTATGGTACTGGCTCTTCTTTCTTTACCCCACACCAACACATTCCCACAAGTCAGAAACAAATTTTTAAATCCCCCAGTCCCCACCACTAAGCAGGACCACATATCACAACAAGCCACAAACAAATTTAAAAACTACATGTCGGCCAACCCCCACCACCAAATGCAAAAGTCCATAACCACATTCCCACAAATCATAATAATTAAATAACAACCAGTCAACCATTAACAAACTGCAATTGAAATTTTGTCCCAACACAACCACAATCACAATTCACAAACAATTTGAATGTTAGTAAAGCAATTTCAATAAACAATCAAACAGACCCATACGCGGCACTACTCTTCACATATAGTACACAAGCATTAACCTTGTATGGGTTTCACAGCAACACCACCACGGCACTACTCTTCACAGACTGCTCTTCCTCAATTCTTTCACCGGAAAAAGCCCCCTGTTACAAACGAACAATTCACGAAAAAGAAGTTAAAATTTGATGAAAATCATCTTAAACCCCAAACCTCAAACAAACAATTAAATCCCAATCGACCATAGCATATGATGAACTGACGATATCCACTTCAGATCTGACGATGACGAGATGACAAACCGACGATATCCGACGAAGATGATGACGAACCGACGAAATCCACTTCAGATCTGATGATGACAAGATGATGAACCGACAATCCGACGAAGATGAACAATATCCGGCGAAGATCCGGCGAAGCTAACGAAGATGAACAAGATCTGGCTGAAAATCAACACTTTGGGAGGAGTTTGATTCAAGTTTTATGACAAGGGTTCGACTATGATTGATTTTTCGCGATTTGGGGATTTTAATAACAGGGGTCAGTTTGTTATTTTTCAAAACTTGTTTGCATTATTTTCAATTAAATCCCAATGTTTCAAAATTTCTCAAAAACCCCCCCGCTTTTTCGAGCCAGGCACGGCTCGCGAGCCTGACGAGCCGAGCCTTGTATGGCTCGAGCTCGACTCGTTTTGTCTTACGAGCCGAGTCGAGCTGGCTTGTTATCAGACGAACTGAGCCTTTAACGAGCTGAGCCGAGCTGGCTCGCGAGCAGCTCGGTTCGTTAACTAGCCCTAATTACCACAAAGAGCACAACAGTAATGAAAGATGCCACCACAGCCCCACTAACTTTTGGGCAGAAATCACCAAATTGCTGACAAATAGCTAGCCAGTTGGTGTTTGGATTTCCATTGTGTGCCAAATAAACGATGACAGCTCTGTGACGCAAATCCGATGAAGAACACATGGTTCACGACGAAGAGTTGACGACGACAGCTCTGCGACACAAATCCGATGAAGAAGACGTGGTTCACGGCGAAGAGTTGATGTCGACTGGGAGGTGTGCTGGTGCTGTCGACAAACCGTGCTGGGGATCGATGAAATTTAGGGATTATGGCGAAGAGTTACGGCAAATGAGAAACTGTCATGGTTTTAGGGATTAAAAAATCAAGGGGGATTTTGTCATTTTTTAAAACTTTTGCTGTTATATTTCATTTTAATCCCCTATACTTCAGAAAACTCCAAAAAAAACCCCCGTTTTTTCGAGCCAGGCTTGGCTCGGCTCGGCTCGCGAACCTAACAAGCCGAGCCCAGCTAAAGGGCCGAGTCAAGCCAACTCACGAGCAGCTCGCCCCATTAAGCACCCCTATTATCATGTATCGTTCTGATTCCTCAAATTTCTACTTTCTAGTAATTTAGATTACGTTTTTGAGCATGAAATTGTAAGTGACCCGTAACCCATTATCCAAGTATTTAATCTATGAGATGTCGTGTTTAGATCAGTTAAACCCATTTGACCAAATTACATGGAAATTCGTTTTTTTATAAAATTGTTCCAATTTGCAGCTTCCAAATGAAATCACAAATTGTGTATTGTATCGCGTATCGAAAACCTAATTTTTTAAATTATATATCGTATCATATTGTAGGGTGTATCTTTTTTAAAAACATAATAAAATAATAATTTTTTTTAAAAAAAAATTAATGTCATCCCCAAGATTAATTAACGAATTTTTGATATTATTGACTTTAAATTATGGTATTACATAATTAAAATTAATATCAAAATTAAGAATCTAAATCATTTCCTCTCAACCATTCATATCATTTCCAAGATCAATGTCAATATTTATATCTCCACTTGTATTATTATTATCATGCAAAATTAGCAACACATCTTACTCTTTACTTTTTCCATGCAAAATGAGTTAATTTGAGCGGGTTTTAGTGAACCGGGTTGGGTGACCCATATTCGACCCGATTTTTTTTTTTTTTTTTTTTTTTGGCCTTTGACCCAAATTAATAAAGTCGTATCAATTTATATCGATATTTTGAAGGATACAAACTGATACGTATCGTATTGTAGGATACATATCAACATATCAAACTATTTAAGATAAACTCTCTAATACATATCATTGACGACCCGTATCGAATCATATCGTAGAATACGTATTGCATATTTTAAGATACTAATAACCATGAATGAAAATAGCTTAGAAAGATATATATCTATCTCAGTGTTTGATATTGTATGGTTTTATTCTGGGTTTGTTTGGTTGCAGGTAACGGAGGATTACTGAGATCATGTCATTTTATATTACTTAATTATTACGTTTGGTTGTCAAATAATATAAGATTCCGATAATCTTCCAAAACCAATAGTAATTACTATTAATAATATTGGAGTTAATCTGATTACCTTAAGTCTCTTACTCTCTTAAGTATTTTAAGATTAATTAATAATCTTATTTTTGTTACAATTTTATCTCTTATTAATAAAATTTTAGGACAATTATGCATTTGTTTTAAAAACAATTTACAAAAATATTAATGAACTATTTTATCTTTATTTACAAAGTTTTTAAGACATAAATACTCCTGGAATTTTAAAAAATTACCCAAGAGTGATGGTCGGATTTGGCCACAACTGCCAACGGTAACAGAATAGTGCACAACTAGCCAAATCTAGCCGCTCGTGTGCTGCTAAGGCTGTTTTCGACCATAGATATGTGATTTATGGTTGGAAACAACAAAAAACGACCAGATCTCCACTGTCACCACCGCCGACGGTGGTGGCAAGCTATCGACAGTGGTCTAGGGTGGGTGTGAGTGTTTTTGTTAAGTTTTAAACTTTTTTTGTTGCTGGGGTGTTTTAACTAAATAAAAAATGTAAGGGGTTAAAAGAATTATTAAAAAGAATGGATAATTTAGTAATTTATATAAAAAACCCACTAATTTATTATTTTCAACCAAACATATTAATATAACATACTCATCAATTTATTCCAACCAACTAAACACATTTTCTTAAATATTCCTACTAATGTTCAAAATAATCTATCTTTTCATTAATATAATATTCCTAGTATACAACATTCTATGAACCAAACACACTTGAAAGAACTTTGAATCATTGTCTAGAAAGTCGTTCATTTTATCATAAATGATCCGTTTACCCCTGAAATGACCCGCCCGATAGGGAAATCCCAACTCATTGGTGGGCTTTTCCTCTTCAATAATACTAGATGTACAAACAAATCTTACAAAGATTTGTGTACAAACAGATGTGGCATAAAATAAATGAAAGAGTTAATACAAAAAGTCAAACTCATCATATTCCTTCTTCCATTCATTTTGTGTCACATCAGCTTGTATATAAATCTTTGTAAGATTTGTTTGCACAGCACATGTAGTATTCCTTTTTGGGTCCTTAGGCCCAATATTTATCCCAACAAAATGTTTAAATACATCAATCCTTTCAGCAAAGATAAGTGGAACCAAATTATAACTAGAAGAATATGAACTTTATTTATATTATCCAACAATGTATACAAATACATATGACAAATGGAATGCACAGGCTGTTGAAACATTATTTATTTGTCACTCTGCACAAACTCAATACAAACATGAACACTGGGTATAATTTTCCTTCTAATTTTATCTACAGGATAAGAGAAAATACAATTACCTGCAATCTAATTCTAAGCTGTGGATGTAAAACGCTTTACTGGAGCTCCAAGGGAAGATAAGTACTGAGCATCTGCTTTGTCAATTCCATCAAAAAGATAACTAAAGGGACGCATTTCTGTGTACTTAGTTCCAGGAACAACCTTCAATTCATCATTTTCCCAGACAATCCTTCCTCCAGCTATAGTCACTTCAACTTTTCCCTGAGAAACCATAATTTAAACATACACTACCACTTAAGCACGACAAGGTTTAGGACACTACAAACGTACACATACACAGTGAGAGTCACAAAACCTTTCAAAACAATCACATGTGCAAGCAGAAAGAAACAGAGAGTTTGCACCAAGTAAAATTTTAAATAGTGAAGGAAGTTTACATTTGGAAGGGTGGATTATTAATAAAGGTATATTTATTTGAGGGTCACCTCAAGCATTACAACAGTATATATGATCCATGTTTAAAATATTTGAATGATGAGATTTGTAATTCATGGTATGTATAAGAATGAATTAATTCCAATGATATTGAATATGCTTATGCTTATTTACCACAAAACAAGCAAATTAAATCAATAACAGTCAAAGAACACCTTTCCTCGCCTGCACTCATAGACATTTGTATCTGATCTAGAGTGGTGAGACGTTGCAGTAATTTCAAAACTTGAACTTGCGTTGAGAATAATTATATCTGCATTGGATCCAACAGGAATTGCTCCTTTCCTGGGATATATATTGAAGATCCAAGCACTGCAAATTTTTTCAAACATAATTTATTTGCATTTCAGAATCCAGGGTTCAATACAGGGATTACTGAAACAAAATAATCCCAAAAGTTCATTAATAAAAATTTTCTTCAAGTTAGAAACATTATCTAGAGAATAACAGTGAAAGTACATCATTCAGTGCTTGTTATGCAGACATAATCAGTCACTGAAATTTGCCCAGCTTCCTGAAAGCGTAATTTGAATGAAAAATCAATTTCACCTTTTCATATTAAATGAATAAGCTAAAACCCACAGTGGCTTAGGCTTACCACCATTGTATCCCAAACCAAATGCATCCTCTCCTCGATGCCTATGTTCGGTAGTTGTCATGGAGAGAAAAATTAGAAAGTGAAATAGTTACAATAGGGCCACCGTAATAACAAAGATGTGTCGTAAGAAATATAAGGGAATATCATTTATACCATTGACCCCAATTGTTATATTTCGAAAATCATCAATCCCATAAGCTTTTTGTGTAGAATTAATAGCAAAATGATCCGTTCCTAAAAGCTGCAAATTGTAGAAAGTAGGATGACAGACAAATTTCAAGTTCTCTTCCAAAAAAAATATATCAAGGAACATTGATTAAGTAATATAATGATCACATTTCTTAGTGAGAACTCATACATTTTCCTCCAACCTCACAATTATTTACCTAAGTTTTACAGATCAATCTTTGTAGAAACACTGTTCCACGTAAAAATGTAGCTGTGAACCAGGATCAGATTTTTTGTAATCACATGGATACCAACAGTAGTGTAGGCAAAATAGTTGAAATTAAAATCATAAAACAACAGGCTAGTATTACATATCCGTAATTTGTGAATAAAGAGAGGCCGGAATATGCACAGACATTTAGAGTCTAGGGATCCTCCCAATATGAAATATGATAAAACAAGGAAGATGCGAAATCAAAATATCAGCCCGTCAAGACATTAGAAATTACCAGAAACATAAAATCACATGATGCTCTGAATCAACTTCATAGGATATGACCCAGAAAACATTATAGTATTATGAACCCAATTTGAGCAGATAAATTCAAATGAAATTCTCATATGTATATCAGGGTTATCATACATTTCGCATGCACTAGAGAAGGATGAGCCTCACTCCAGCATTCAGATTGCAGAACTCCGAATCTAAAACAGAATATGACCCAGAAAAGATATATACATAAATAATGCAAAATCATGATTATCAAGATATCCTTTCAAAGCTTTTCAGCATACATACTTTTTCTTGACTTTCATGGTTCAGAAAATGCAGAAACCATTTTCAAATGAAGCTACAGTAAACCATTAATAACTAATTTTCATTGTGACACAGCTTACAGTGGATTAAATATAGTAGGAAATTGGAAAACAACCTTGATGTTAGGGTGGACAGCAACAATGATCCCGTCATCCACATAAACAATAAACATCAGCAATCTCCTGACGATGAGCATTCAGAACCGTTCCTCCTCTGATCAATATCTTTGATGAAGATGATTGAACTCCACACGTGTGATCACCATGTACAGTCCCAGCCTCACAAAACTGTAAATAAGAATATACCAATGTTATAAACTTATAATATCATCTGTATAACTGATTAAAATAGCAGTTCTGAAATCTTCCTATAATTCTTCTAAAAGAAATGAAAGAATATGTTCTGTTTTGCTACTCTTTTCATTGTTCAAATTATTCAAAATTAAAAATTAACCCAAAAAAAAAAAGGCGAACCCTATTGAAATTAAAAGAGAGCGTTGAGAGTGAGTTAGTACCAGGTTGTTTGAGTCGGATTGTGAAGAAAAAGTGAAGAGAAGAACGAGTGAACAGAAAGGGATGAGTTGATGAGTTGCGAGGACATGGCGCTGGTGAGTAGTGATGAGTGTGAGACTCGACACTGAGTCAACTCGCACTCTACCACTCTTTCTGAATTACTGGCTTTTAAAAGAGCGGGTTTTTAAATTGCTTTCTTTGGCTTTTCAAAATCATTGGAAGCCTTCTGTCTTTATCACCACTTGGCATTGATCCATTGTTAAGGGCTTCCTTCGCTTTGGACCCAAATGTCTCCAAATTAATTGGTTGCTTTATTATTATAAACCCAACCAAGTTTATAATTATAGAATTGAATACTTAATTAATGTGCTTTTTAAATCTTGTCATTATCATGTACGGGTGTTAACGAACCGAGCCTAGTCGACTTTTAAGCTTAACGAGCTCGACTCGTGAGAGAGGATTATTAATCGAGTCGAGCCGCAGATTTTATGGCTTGGCTTGACTCAGAAAAGAGTTGGGAATATTTCGAGCTGGCTCGCGAGTCGGCTTATCGAGCCGAGTTCGAGCCGGCTCGTGAGCCAACTCTCAAAAATTCAATTTTTTTAAGCAAAAATCAAAATTTTTTTTTCTAGCCACTGCCACTCTTCTAGCCACTTCATGCACTTCCTTTTCAGCCCAAAACCCCTTGTGAATTTAATTGGAAATGCCGAGCAATTATTTTTAATGTTTGTTTCCTTCTATTGTAAAACAGTGCTCTTTCGCAATTGTGATACAGCAACACTGCAAGGTGATCATCCCAGAATAGAAGTTTCAAGCCAAGATGATCATCAGGGAGATAGACCACAGAAAATAAACCAGGCATCGCGGCCAAGCGTCGACGAGACTTCAATGGGTCTGACGGCAGAATAGCAACATTCCTTATATGAATTTGTTTTCATGCATGGAATTTTGGGCAGAGAATGAAACATTTTGAAGGATTCTTTAATTTCAATCAGAATACATTAAAATGCAGATGCTCAAAAGCAGTATTGAATGGACTGATTCAACACAAGCACATTAGATTCAATACCAATTCTTCCAGTGCAATATAATAGATATCATTGTTGCCAGTACCCTTATAAAATGAAACTCAAGTTTCTGGACACAACAAAGGAATCATAAAAACATGAAAATCATTTGCATCGGTTTCGATTTCTTAATGTCTTCGGAGAGCCAAAGCTGACAGTACCACCATTACCACAAAGAGCACAACAGTAATGAAAGATGCCACCACAGCCCCACTGACTTTCTGGCAATGTTTTAAAAACCGACCCGGGACAAAACCCGGCAAGGTGGCCGGGTCCCGAGTCGACCGGTTGAACCAGCTGGTTCAACCACTGACGTCATCATACTGACGTCAGCATGATGACGTTAGCAAAACACTGTTCACAGAATGCTTCTGCTAATTTGAGTAATTTCCAAAATTTAGTATTACAATATAATTTATGTATATCACAGCTTCTTTGTGAACATTACCTCAACTAATAATCTATATAATAAATGATATAACTATATGAAATAAATTATCACATTAATTGGGATGGACAAACTTTGTTAAACATTATTTTCCCAAAATCAACATTCATCTAATTCTACATATCATACGCCAATATGGCCACTAAGATGACAAAAACAATCAAAAGGATAATTAATTTTCTGGAATTCATTTTTAAAGAAGCACTAAATTTAAAAATAACCCTCCCCAGTCGATCCACATCTCAAAGGGAAAAGTGGCTTTGGGTGAGGAATTTTGTCAAACAAGTGGTGGGCGAGTTGGCTGTGCGAAGTTTCGAGAAGATGCAGAGTCATCGGCGACCAGGTAATTACACACAAACAGAAAATCAGTATCATACACATGCTGCTTCCTACTTCAGAACCTGATTGTCCCAACTCCTAAGTCCCAACTGCATAATAGTAGCAGCAACAAAACAAACACAAATACATTCTTCAACCAAAATTGAAAAGAAAATCATTCACACCAAAAATATAAAAGCATGAATTAACTTTTTCTAAGCAAAACCAAACATTTCAATAACAATTACGCTCGCAGGGCCATTTTGCACACCAATGTTAAAGATCATTATGTTCCACCATTTAAGACAAATAGATGTAATGTGACGGGAAGATGAATTAACTTTTTCTAAGCAAACCAAACATTGCAGACAATGAATGTCGAACATGTAATGTGACGGGAAGATGAGCCAATAGTCCAACACAACTAAGACATCTCATGCACAAGACCTGAAACAAAAAAATAAGCCTACACCGTGACAGTTACTTGGTGCAGCTTTGAGAAGAATAACGACGATGGATGTACAGCGTAGATCAACGGTGAAGAAGAGTGTGTGAGGACAGAGAAGATCACGAAATGTGAGGAGATTCGCGGTACCCCAGCTAATGACGAAGTAAGCTGTTGATGGTGAAGGCTGCAGCGAAGAGATTCGACGGTGAAGGGGAGACTCCGACGGTTATTTTCAGAGTTCAGACTTTCAAAGCAAAGGGTGGGAAATGCGTGAAAATGGGGGGAGAAATGAGGAAATGTTGATATTTGGGGCTTTACTATTCATTCAATATAATATATTATATAATTAAAATTTTATTATTTTTATAAATAGGTGACCTAGATTTTTTAAAACTAACGGTTAGACCGGTGGGTGCTACAGTGCACCGGTCCAACCGCGGGTGTAAATGGGTGAAATTAAATTAACGGGTTTGGGACTCACCCGGCCCGGCTCACCAGCCGAGTCCCAGTTGAATCGGTTCAACCGGTCGGGCCAGGTCGGGTTTTAAAACATTGCTTTCTGGCAGAAATCACCAAATTGCTGACAAATAGGTAGCCAGTTGGTGTTTGGATTTCCATTGTGTGCCAAATAAACGATGTCAGCTTTGTGATGCAAATCCGATGAAGAACATGTGGTTCACGACGAAGAGTTGACGGCGACAACTCTGCGACGCAAATCCGATGAAGAAGATGTGTTCATGGCGAAGAGTTGATGGCGACTAGGAGGTGTGCTGGTGCTGCCGACAAACCGTGCTGGGGATCAATGAAATTTAGGGATTACGACAAAGAGTTACGGCAAATGAGAAAGTGTCATGGTTTTAGGGATTAAAAAATTGGGGGGTATTTTGTCATTTTTTAAAACTTTTGCTGTTAAATCTTCATTTTAATCCCCTATACTTTAGAAAACTCCAAAAAAACCCTCGTTTTTTTGAGCCAGGCTCGGCTCGGCTCACGAGCCTAACAAGCGGAGCCGAGCATAGCTCAAACTCGGCTCGTTCTGTCTCACGAACCGAACCGAGCCTTTAACGAGCCAGACTCGAGCCGAGTCAAGTCGACTCGCGAGCAGCTCGGCCCGTTAAGCACCCCTATTATCATGTATCGTTCTGATTCCTCAAATTTCTACTTTCTAGTAATTTAGATTACGTTTTTGAGCATGAAATTGTAAGTGACCCGTAACCCATTATCCAAGTATTTAATCTATGAGATGTCGTGTTTAGATCGGTTAAACCCATTTGACCAAATTACATCGAAATTCGTTTTTTTATAAAACTGTTCCAATTTGTAGCTTCCAAATGAAATCACAAATTGTGTATTGTATAGCGTATCGAAAAGCCTAATTTTTTAAATTATATATCGTATCGTATTGTAAGGTGTATCTTTTTTAAAAACATAATAAAATAATAATTTTTTTTTTAAATTAATGTCATCCCTAAGATTAATTAACGAATTTTTGATATTATTGACTTTAAATTATAGTATTACATAATTAAAATTAATCACAAAATTAAGAATCTAAATCATTTCCTCTCAACCATTCATATCATTTCCAAGATTAATGTCAATATTTATATCTCCACTTGTGTTATTATTATCATGTAAAATTAGCAACACATCTTACTCTTTACTTTTTCCATGCAAAATGGGTAAATTTGAGCGGGTTTAGTGAATTGGGTTGGGTGACCCATATTCGACCCGATTTTTTTTATTTTTTTTTTTGCCTTTGGCCCAAATTAATAAAGTCGTATTGATTTATATCGATAATTTAAGGATACAAACCAATACGTATCGTATTGTGAGATGCATATCAACGTATCGAAATATTTAAGATAAACTCTCTAATACATATCATTGACGACCCGTATCGAATCATATCGTAGAATACGTATCGCATATTGTAAGATACTAATAACCATGAATGAAAATAGCTTAGAAAGATATATATCTATCTCAGTGTTTGATATTGTATGGTTTTATTCTGGGTTTGTTTGGTTGCAGGTAACAGAGGATTACTGAGATCATGTCATTTGATATTACTTGATTATTACGTTTGGTTGTCAAGTAATATAAGATTTCGATAATCTTCCAAAGCCAATAGTAATTACTATTAATAATATTGGAGTTAATCTGATTACCTCAATTCTCTTAAGTATTTTAAGATTAATTAGTAATCTTATTTTTGTTACAATTTTATCTCTTATTAATAAAATTTTAGGACAATTATGCATTTGTTTTAAAAACAATTTACAAAAATATTAATGGACTATTTTATCTTTATTTACAAAGTTTTTAAGACATAAATACTCTTGGAATTTTAAAAAATTATCCAAGAGTGATGGTCAGATTTGGCCATAACTGCCAACAGTAACAGAATGGTGCACGACTGGCCGAAGCTAGCCGCTCGTGTGCTACTAAGGCTGTTTTCGGCCATAGATATGTGATTTATGATTGGAAACAACAAAAAACGACCAGATCTCCACTGTCACCACCGCCGATGGTGGTGGCAAGCTGTCGACAGTGGTGTAGGGTGGGTGGGAGTGTTTTTGTTAAGTTTTAAACTTTTTTTGTTGCTGAGGTGTTTTAACTAAATAAAAAATGTAAGGAGTTAAAAGAATTATTAAAAAGAAGGATAATTTAGTAATTTATATAACAAACCCACTAATTTATTATTTTTAACCAAACATATTAATATAACATACCCATCAATTTATTCCAACCAACTAAACACATTTTCTTAAATATTCTTACTAATCTTCAAGATAATCTATCTTTTCATTAATATAATATTCCCAATATACAACATTCTATGAACCAAACACACTTGAAAGAACTTTGAAACATTATCTAGAAACTCGTTTATTTTATCATAATTGATCCGTTTACCCCTGAAATGAACCGCCCGATAGGGAAATTCCAACTCATTGGTGGGCTTTTCCTTTTCAATAATACTAGATGTACAAACAAATCTTACAAAGATTTGTGTACAAACTGATATGACATAAAATGAATGGACGAGTTAATACAAAAAGTCAAACTCATCATCTTCTTCTTCCATTCATTTTGTGTCACATCAGTTTGTATATAAATCTTTGTAAGATTTGTTTACACTTTGCACATGTAGTATTCCTTTTTGGGTCCTTAGGCCTAATATTTATCCCAACAAAATGTTTAAATACATCAATCCTTTCAGCAAAGATAAGTGGAACCAAATTATAACTAGAAGAATATGAACTTTATTTATATTATCCAACAATGTATACAAATACATATGACAAATGGAATGCACAGGCTGTTGAAACATTATTTATTTGTCACTCTGCACAAACTCAATACAAACATGAACACTGGGTATAATTTTCCTTCTAATTTTATCTACAGGATAAGAGAAAATACAATTACCTGCAATCTAATTCTAAGCTGTGGATGTAAAACGCTTTACTGGAGCTTTGAGGGAAGAAAAGTATTTAGCATCTGCTTTTTCAATTCCATCGTAAAGATAACTGAAGGGAAGCATTTCTATGTACTTTCCACTTCCAGGAACAATCTTCAATTCATCATTTTCCCAGACAATCCGTCCTCCAGCGATCGTCACTTCAACTTTTCCCTGAAAAACCATGATATTATAAACCTTAATGAGTTTTGCTTTTGATTCAGAAAACATATACGATACTCTACATTAGACACCCACCTCCTCCAGTTGGGTTTAGAGAATTACGAGTTTCACGTATTGTCCTACACACTTTACTTAGTAAAACTTGGATTTGTCTCTTACCCAACTCTTTTCACTAGGCTTAGAGTGTGTTCCCCCTATAACTTGAACCTAGAATACCATCATTTCAAAAGAGTTGGAAGTACCAGTTGGGATAGTTGTAATTCTCTTAACTGCACTAAAGAAGGTGGGTAGGGTATATTACACCTAATTTACCTCTTCGCTCATGTGAGCCTTAAACCTTCTACAACATCAATATATATATGCATTAATCATTTTCATAGGCCTGGTCCTTCTAAGTGCAGGCATAAATTGAACAAACCAATGAGAAAGCTCTCTCTCTATCTCTCGACAACGGGTGACATAATCTACTGATTATCTAAATTGAAGTAAATAGCAGCAGAGAACTTACCTTTCCTCTCCTGCCCTCATAGACATTTGTATCTGATCTAGAGTGGTGAGACGTTGCAGTAATTTCAAAACTTGAATTTGGGTTGAGAATAATTATATCTGCATCAGATCCAACAAGAATTGCTCCTTTCCTGGGATATATATTGAAGATCCTAGCACTGCAAGTTTTTTCAAACATAGTTTATTTGCATTTCAGAATTCAGGCATCAAAACAGGGATTACTTGTAAAACAAACCAGTAATTTCTTTGTAACCCCAAAAGTTCATTAGTAAATTGACACAAGGTAGAAACATTATGTAAAGAACCATAGTGAAAGCACACCATTCAGTGCTTGTTATGCGGACATAATCAGTCACGGAAATTCGGCCCGTTTCCTGCAAGCGTAATTTTTAGTGAAGAATCAATTACATTCTTTCATTCAAATCAAACTTATAATATTAAATAAATAAACTAAAAACTGAAGAGGCTTACCACCATTGTATCCCAAACCAAATGCATTCTCTCCTCAATGCCTGCATATGGTGATGGTCGAGGAGAACAAAATTAGAAAGTGAAATGGTTACAACTGAGCCCACATAATAACAAAGGGAATGTGTGGTCTCAGAAATATAAGGGACCATTCAATTATTACCATTGACACCATTTGGTATTTTTCGGAAATCATCAATGCCATAAGTTTTCTGTGTAGAATTAAAAGTACAATGATCGGTTCCTACAAGCTGCAAAGTAGAAAGTAGCATGAGAAGCAAATTTCAAGTGCTCTGTAAAACAAATTGATGGAACCACCTGCTCAAATAACTCAATTCCAACACACACACACAAGAACTGTATGGAAATAAAGCTCAAAGGAATAAAACTGAAGATTAATATTGAAACAGAAAGAGATAACAGTAGCAAGAAAAGTGATTCCAGTCCACTTCCAGCAATTCGAGGAGCTGGAGACCTCCCACAAAACCTATATGATTCAACTTGATACCTCCCTTATCACACCCTAGCTATTTATACCCAATTACTTCCTATACTACCCTTCCCTAACAACTTTATTCTACCCATCCACATGCATGAGAATCCCGTAACAAACTGTAACAAACTTCACCCATTCTTTTCCCTTGCTGTAACCATCCACACTCACACCCCTTTCCCCTTAGTGCCTTTACTCTTAGTGCTGCCCCTCGACTTATAGACTACATTGATAGGGGGTCTATCACAAATATATCAAGGAACATGACTTACATAATCTAATGATCAAATTTCTGAATGAGAACTCATACATTTCCCTTCAGGCTCATAGTTCTTTACCTAAGTTTTACAGATTACTCTTTGCGGAGACAATGGTTAAAAATAATAGTGTCATGGCAAATGCAGACACTAAAATCTTACTGCCTTTTCCAAACTTGGATTTTAACAGAACCTAAAACTCTGGAGATCATATAAATCTAAGAGTCTCACTTTCTCATTTGCAATGTTCATGTAAATATAGATAAGAGGGAAACCTGCAGAACTCCAGTTGCAAGGGCAGCTTGTAGAGCTTTGTCATGTCCTGATGCTCTGATAGGAGGACTCATGACATACCTGAAATATGGAAGTTTTAATACTTCAAAAGATATTAGAAAAAAAAAAAAAAAAAAAAGAGATAAAAATATGGGAATTAAAAGGAAGAGCAAAGATTCTTGCTTTGCTGCTGTGAGGAAGTCTGAGGCCCATAGCCAAGAATCATCAAGGGCTAATCCAGAAACTACAGGCTCTCCAATAACCCTCTGCCCTGCAATTTACAAAATAAGGGTTATCATTCCTGCTAATAGTATAAGCATCACCAACAGAACATAGAGTCAAGAGAGGATAGAGGATTTTTAGAACATGATTTAGATATAAACATATATTCTAACAGAGTCGAGAAGAAAGACTTAAAAGGAAATAGACCAGCTCTTACAAGATGCAACTCAGGATGCTACCAAGTCAAGACTAAATACCCTCAAAAGACAAAAATTTGTGATAACTTGATGAAGTTGAGCTGAGCAATTCAAGTTGTGAATATCAAAGGGAGACTAAATCAAGCTTAAAAAAATGCTAGGTTATGCATAAAAACTCGTTATTCATGAACTAGTAAATTTAATATATTGAAGAGTTCGAACCTGATTTTCGAGCTTTAGAGATTTCTTCCATTGCATCAATGCTCATCACATGAACAACATAAAGAGGTGTATTTACAAACTTGGCCAAACGAATTGCACGAGAAGTAGCCTCTCCTTCCAGCTGCATGGACATTGAACTAGAAGCTCAATTATATTTGGAAACTGAAGGATGCAGTGATGCACAAAGACATCCTTACACAATATAATTTTCTAAAATGAGTAAATATAATTTGCATGATATAAAGACAGATAATCTCAATAAAAGCAATCATCAATAATTCTTCATAGTAACATAATATAATTTGATTAAATGAGTATATATCAATAATCATCAAAAATTGCAAAGGGTAGATAACTCCGATTACTAAGAATAAGAAAGTAAGAATGAGCAATATCAGCAAACAATATGTGTTTACAAAATTCAAAAACACATTTTGAGAATTACCAATGGGGGCCTTGAAAGAGCATGTCCCTCAGGACCAGTAATACCAAGTTCAATCATTCTTTTCTGTCCTTCAAATACTGCATCTCCATTTTCTGCATGGACCATAGCCAAGGCACCAAGAGATTTGCACCTCTTGAGTCCTTCTAGCAGGAGATCATCATTGATCATAAAAGAGCCCTTGTATGCCATGAAAAACTTGAAAGAGTTGATACCTACAAGTTGCATGTTTAAATTACTATATATATGGAAACCAATATAAGATGAGAATAAGCTGATAGCACTGTTCATTGATTCATATCAAATAACAGCAAGTAATTAAATCCACATTATACAACCTAGAAATTAAAACCACAAACCTTTCTCCTTGACCATAACTTCCATTTCCTCAGAAACAACTTCATTCCATTTTGTAATTGCCATATGGAAACCATAATCCATGCAGGAATTCTTAGCTTTTTTCTTATAGGCTTCAAAACCAGCAGTTAAACTCCCATCGACAGGTATAATAAAATCGATGTGCATCGTTGTTCCACCAGCTAATGCTGCTGCCTGACCACTGAAGAAGTCGTCAATGGTCTCAGTACCCATAAACTCCATAGCAAGGTGCGTGTGAGGATCTATTCCTCCTGTCAATGTTCCAGGTAAAGCATTTGTAGTGGTGAGCTGGGCTCAGATCATTGTAATCACTTAGGTACTAACAATCATGTGGGCAAAGTAGTCAACCTAAGATACCTTGGGTTGAAATTAGCATCATAATACAACAAGCTAGTATCATATAATCCATAATTTGTGTACATAGACAAAGAAATATGCAGAGACTTCTAGAGTCTCGCTCCTCCCAACATGAATTATGAAATTCATCAACAAAAATAGGAAATCAACACCAGCCCCTCAAAACAGTACTCATCACCGAAAACACACAATCACATGATACTCCTTAACCAACATCATGGGATATGACACAGAAAACATTGAACTATAAACCTATTTTGGCCAGAAGTGATATACTAGAGAAGGATTACTCCGATTCAATCATTTCAGTTGCACAAAATTCTGTTTGAATCTAAAACAGAATATGACCCAGAAGAGATATATACATAAATAATGCAAAATCATCATTATCATTTTATCATCGAAACGTTTTTCAGCATACAACCTTTTTCTTGACTTTCATGGTTGAACAATGAAAACACCAATTTTTTGTATCATTAACCAAAGTGTGAAACTTAACCTGGCATAACATATTTTCCAGTAGCATCCAGAACAGTTACATCATCACCAACCTGCCAAAGTCAACCAAACTACTCAGCTGTCATGATACTCCTAAAATGAAATAAGAGAACACCAACATCATATGTATGCTCGTCCAAAACTTAAAAGGGAACCTATAATATAATAGAAAACTACCTTGATGTTAGGGTGAACAGCAACAATGATCCCGTCCTCCACATAAACATCAGCAATCTCCTGATGGTGAGCATTCACAACTGTTCCTCCTTTGATCAAGATCTTTGATGATGATGAAGATGATTTTATTCCACACTTGGGCTCACCATGTACAGTCCCAGCATCACAAAACTGTAATTATAAATAAATCAGTCAATCCAACATTTGTGTTAGCTATTTGGCTCCATTAATTTCTACTTCATTTTCCTTCATTATTTCTCAGTCACCAAAAGGAAACTATATATTCCAAAAAAAAAAAAAAAAAAAAATTCCTCAAACATTTTCCAAATTTCGATTTCAAATCCTTTTTCTACTGATTTGGTATTAGCTAGAAATTTTTTCATTAAAATTTCAAGAATTTAAGTTAAATCATCCGTAAAGTTGACTAAACCAGTAAAGGAACTTTCATAAAATTCGTTTTTAAAGAGATGAAAGTTTCTCTCGTATATTTTCTCTTTTCATTGTTTGAACGTTTCTAAATCAGAAATTAAACAAATAAATATCGAAGAGAATTGAAATATAAAGAAAAGTAAGTGAATTAGTACCAGATTGTCTGACTCGGACTGTGAAGGAAAAGTGAAAAGAAGAAGAAGGAGTGAAGCGAGAGAGATGAGTTGAGAGGACATGGCTGATGATAATGAGTGCTGAGTCAACTCGCTCTCGGTCCACTGAACGGCATCTATACAATTGCAATATCTTCTCTGGTTTTCTATTGGCTTTGTGAGCGGGGTTTTTTGTTTGACATTTGAAAATCCATTTTGATGCTTACATTAGTTACATACGGAATCTCCATTATGATCGCCACTTGGCAATCATCCATTGGTTGAAGCTTCCTCGCCCATTGCCATTGGATCCAGATTTCCAAGGTCCTTGCCCAAATCTTCACGATGGAAAGCTTTGAAAATTAATAAAAGACAAATATGGGTGGATCCCACTGAGCTTAAAAGTCCATAATAATGGCGGATGGATGAAATGAATATTTCCTTTTGTCTTGTGTGCCACTTTCGTTCAATGTAGCCATAAATTAGAGCTTAATAAATCAATGATATTATCGAAGAAATTAAGAAGATAGACAGCTCATTCCCAATGATAAAGGAAATTGTTTTATCTATCTGATAAGATTATTTAGAACAGTTGGAAGCCATGTTAGGTCATGGTAAAAGCATTCTTTCCTATGTAAAGCCTTTTCCTATCTCATTGTTTCACTCTTAAATATAAACAAGAAGTCATCTTTACAGGTGGGTTTAGAAGAGTTTCCCCACATTTCCCTGCTGGACTTCTTAAGAGGCAGAAGTGAACAGAGTCGACACCTTGGCCATGCAATTTACAATTTACTCAAAGAAGACGCAGCAGTAGCAGCCATGGCTAAGTTGTTCTCAGAACAGACATCTCTCTCTCTTTTTTATGTTTCTTTTTCTTTTTCATTCTGATAATGGTATTTGATACTTCTGAGCAAGTAAAGAGGATGGAGATCCTTTTGCATGATTCAGGGGGTAGCCCATTCGAAATACGGGCAAAGGGCGCCTCTGGTGGCAGTCCAGTTACCACACCCGAAGAAGAAACTGCCATGTTTTGGTCCAGGTTTTCGGATCATTCGCCTACTAGTTTTAACTCCACAGAAGCAGTATATGCAGTGATCTTTGTTTGGGTCAGCTTGTACAGGAGGGATTTGGACGAAGGGCAAGGAATGATGGTGCTTTGTCCTGTAGGGTTGCTGGGTGGAGCTAGGTTGGCGATCCAGAAACGGCTGCATTGTTAATGGATGTTCTACAGACTGCCACACCAGTGAGTTTGTTATGGTAAACCGAAATCCACGATGCATGAGATGGGCAAGCAGACAGGCAGTGTTCTTAGCATCGTCTAACCCACAGTGAGCACGGCCTTCCCACACCAGGCCAGCAAGCTCAACAGCTTCTTTAAGGTTGCATTTCACCCCACCAAATACCTCATGGAATGGAACCTTCAAGTTGATCCATCTGGCAACAATCGAAACATAGATTAATCCATCAGTATGTTTGTTGTGGATAAAAAATGGGATGATATCTAAGAACCGGACTCATAATTTTCATTCTCTTAAAAAAGTTTACTGTAGTCGACCGAGTTTTTGATATGTTTTCATCTAAACAGCGCGAGGTTAGATAAAGGCGAAATTTTGTTTTTATTACAAAAACAGGAGTGAAACATGGATTCTTTCAGCAGTGACACACCCAATGAAGAGACATTGTGTTGCTTGTTCTCAGTTCTCGTTTCTTCAACAACAAAAAGACTGGTACAAAATAGACGTTCACTTTTAATACACTAAAGATCAGTAATCCTTTTTAGAGGAGACATATGAACCGTCAGTGCTTTTACACCACGAGTTTATACATCCCAGGACCGTACAAGAAATGTCTTATAACCCAGAATGATTAGAAAACCCGCAAGGAAAGGATAACACCTATCCCTTTTATTTTTCAAAAGAATTTTCAAGCATTTACCTGTTGAAGTATGGTGGTTTCCGGATCCTCTTAAATCGGCACTCAGATTCCAGCATTACTCGACAATCCCAGTTCGACCATGTTACAACGGCAAAGTTGGTTTGTTTGATCCCCTTTTCTTCAAGCCATTGATCATGAAGAAGTAATGCTTCGCTTAGAAGAACACCTTTATCCACCTGAAGGCATTGATACAGATCTATTAAGAAGAAATCTTTATTGGCACAAGGTAGAAACACCAAATAACCTATTAAATTTCCAAGGTATAAATTTGGCCACACATGACACGAAGGACAACAGATTTGTTTCAACCTTTAAAACAACAGATTAGAGTGACAACCAGGGTAACAGATGTAAACAAGGCACTGAATCATCCTAACTATTGCAATATATAATTGTAGCACATATTTTCTAAAAAGAAGAGTAAAAAACAGAGCTTGCATGCTCCAATAATGGAATAAAACAGATAAAAAAGGAAGGCACAGCACATTGTATGCAAAGCTTACAGCAACCAACCATTATATGTTGCTCCTTCTACATAAGTAAAATAAAATTCCTTTTTCCTTTTATAGCAGCAAAATAATCACATGGGATTAGTCCTTTCAAGAAGTTTAAAGAAAGCTGCAGGAGCAAAGCCTCATACCTGGGTCTGCTGAATACCAGTGAGCTCCTTGCAGAAATCACTCAGGTGCTGATTGTATGTAGGCCGCACATATATTTGAAAATAATCTTCAAGTTGGCCAGTTGCACTGTTCACTATTACAGATGGGAACTCAATAATCTCCTGTGGATGGAGATTCCTCTCTTTATCACAGGTTGCCTCAAAGTCTATGACAACGAAATATTGAAACTCTTGGAATTGAAAATCTGATGGGTGACTCTTGGATGATGCTCGGAAGGGCACATATTGAAATCGATTATCCATATGAAAATAATACTCACTATTCATGGGATAGAAATGGCCTTCAACTGAATGAAAGTGGTTCTGTTGTGCCTTTTGTATGTCATGATGAAAAGCTGACCAAGCATAGTACTCTTGTTGGTTCACTGGTCTATAATAACTACCATTGGGGACAGTAAAAGACATACTGCTGAATGAGCTGTCAGGCTGCATGAAACCACCTCCTGAATTGCTGTTTATTCCATCTTTAGGCTCTGACAACCCTTCCACATAACTCCCACTATATTGCAAGTTGTAAGGATATACCTTATTTTGAAGGCATCTCCCAGGTGCCAAACAGTACTTTTGCATTGTTTCTGAAATAAAAGGTAAATGTAAGCAAATAAAACTTCAAACAAAGCCATAGTTTAAATTATAACAAAGGTGGAATATATCAACATAATAGAGACAAAATCAGGTGAGTAACAAATTCTTCAAATTTCAAAATCATGATAGCTTCATTAATAAAATTACCTTTCAATAAGCAACTCAAGAGTAATTGCAATTTCAACTAACCAATTGAAAATGATTATACTGTTACATATTTCTCATTAAGACAGCAAATGATCGAGCATTATTAAAGTGTTTTGCAGAACATCAAGATTGATACTGAATAATTTCACTTCTAAAGAATTTACAGGATTTTCTTTTCACTCATCAACGGTGTTTGCTTGCGATTATTCATTAATAGTCTTATCTTCACAATTTTTTGGTTTAAATGCATGCTTCTGTCAGATAGCTTGTCCTTATTACTCTATCTTCCTATTTTCTATTTAGCGATAAAAAGAATAAAAAACGAATATTTTTCCTTCTAAAAAACAAGGAAAAAGAATGACTGCCATACAATCATTCCATCACAAAAGAAAAATTGATGGTATGTTAAATTCCAACAATAGATATATGGATACAAGCATATTGCTAGTTGCAATCCGCAAAAAGTGGTATTACCATTATGCAGAACATATAAAGTATTAACAAACACATATTTAAACTTCATTTTGGAAAATGTTCATACTGTAATCGCAATAACAATATTAAAGAACTACTTTAGTGGATAGTTGGTAGTAAGAAAACAAGGTAGTTGATACTAATAATAATTCATTAGTTTAAAGTTTTCAGCCTTCTGTCATGGGCTATGGTAGCAGGTATAATTATTATACTCTATCAGTATTGTTTTTCAATAGGGGAAAAATAGCCATCCAATGACTGCAACAGTGAATCAGTATGGATATTTTGACCATTTTGAGTCACTCTTGGTTGCAAAGCCCAGTAACGGATCTTTCATATATAAGAAATAGCTTATAAACTTCTCCTCAGTCACCAATATTCATGACTTATCTATGAATTTCAAAATCGATGGATGAAATATATCAACAAAAACATTTGACATTAAAAAGAAGATAGAAAACATAAGTTTACTTAATCATAGCTTATAACTTTTTTCCATTTATTTAAAATTTTCTGTTAGTTTCATGAAGGGACATATAAGAACAACATCAAAGTAGAGTCTTTAACAGAATATAAGTAAGAAAATGTCCAGTAAAATCATAATAAAAGGATCGCTCCACATCAAGTCAATCATAAATAGGTCATTGAATTTCTAGAACAGTAGACGGATCTAATAATATAAGGGCATAACTAAATCAGAGACGAAACATAAATAGTTCTAACAAGTGCAAGCTACCCTCTGGGTCCCCACAAGGCAGACAATCCAGCTTGCATAAAATTCTGCCATAGTAGTTGACATTCCTACTAACACCTCCATTTAAGCTTGGTTATCCTAGAAGCCACAAAACTTTCTCAGGAAACCTAAAACCTAATCACCTTTACTTTTTTAATTCTTTTGAAGCAACCAACTTCAGGGACATTATGTCGCCGCTGCTAGTAAGGAGGAGTAAGAATGGTTAAGCACATTGGAAAATGTACCAACAAGCACATCATTCACCCAAAACTCGTATCCTACATCAAGAATTTGCTAGCACTCTGGAAAGAAGTAGCAACAAAAACTCCAGAACAAGAGATAGTCGATTTAGGCATATTTCATATCGTCAACAAGTCAATGTTTGATCAAATATTCAACCAAATACCCTCAATCCCAGAGAAAATATTGTAAAGTCACAGGACTTCAAACAATAAAAAAATCTGAACAAGAAAAATAAAGAGGCCGAAAATTAAAGCAGAACCGAACACATCCTCCTCCTACCACCTTTTCCCTCGCATTTAATACGGAAAATCTAATCGTAGCCTAATATTTAAGCTAAGTGATTCAAAGCAACATTGTCCTGGCACAAAACTAAACATTCCTTTCCGTTTAATACCAAAAATCTAAAGGTAGCCAATCACTAATATCCCATCTTCAATATATAAAACTCTCTACTGCTTAATAGCTACAGCATTGTAACTCTAATAACTGAAAAAAAAAAAAAAAAAAAAAAATTCGAACCCAACCCCACAATTTTTCTAAACGCATAAATTAACTCCCCAAAACACCATATTAAACAAAATAAATCGAACCCATTAAAACCCATGTTCCCATAACAATACAAACGCTAGATAATCCCAAAAGAAGTGAAAAATTCTCGAGCTTTTCATCTAAATACCAATGCGCATGAAAAATAAACACCAAAATCAACAGAAAGAGATCAAGCAATCAAGTTGAACGCCCATATATATATAAATATATAATCATACCTTGAAATTCAACGGCCATGATGATGATGAAGATGTTGTTTCTGATGGGTGATCAGATCTCCCTCTAAATTTTTCCACCTGAATTAACCGCCAAACTAACAAACAAAAAGAGTGAGAAAAAGGAACAGAACAAATTGAATAAAAAGAGAAAGAAATTGTTGGTTTGGCATTACGTGATGGTGGTAACAGAAATTAGGTGAATAAGTTGTTCTACATCTTTCCCAAAACAAAACCAAACCGGAACCAAAACTCTGAAACCAAACAACTTACACGGTATTTATCTCTTACCGTCATAACACTTCTCCATACTAGTGGCTCGTGTACGTCTTCGTATATACTCGCTGTATTTTTTATTTTTCACAAACCTCCGACCATTAATAAGAGGAATGCTACACTCACATATTTTATAAAGATTTTCATATAAAATGGTGTGATAAAAGATGAATAGAAGACTGAATTTAATGAATTTGATTTTCACTCTTTCATTCATTTTTTGCCACCTTTGACTTTCACTCTTCCATTCATTTTTTACCACATTTCTTTGTATAGAAATCTTTGTAAGTATAGTATTATTGCATTAATAAAGACTATTTATTTTGAATCTTTTCTTATTTATATTTGAGTTAATGACTTAATTGTCCTTATTAACAAAAATCTCTATAAAGTTTTCCAAGTTATTAGTATCCCACGATATGTATCGTACAATATGATTCGATATGAGTTACCAACGATACGTATTAGAGAATATATCCTAAATTTTTTGATACGTGGATATGTATCTTACGATATGATATATATCGATTTGTATCCTTATAAATATCGATATAAACCGATATGACTTTATTAAATTGGGCCGAAGGCGCAAAAAAAAAAAAAAAAAAATCGGGTCTAATTCGGGTCACCCGGCCTGGTTTACTAGGACCCACCTAAATTTACCCTTCCCTAAGTTTATCCTAGCAAGATTCACTCCTAATTAATTAATTTTAGGGATGGTATTAATTTTTAAAAAAAATTTATTATGTTTTTTGAAAAAAAGCGTATCCTATGATACGATACAATACGCGATACACGATTCGAAAAATTAAGTTTTCAATACATGATACGATACGCGATTGGACAACAATGTTTCGAATAACAAAAATTTCTTTATAGTTAATGAACAATTATTAAATTCTTAAAATTTACACTATTATGAGTTAACAAATATTATTAAATTTTTTAAAATTGTTGATGCGTGATTTTTACACCAATGAAACGCACGTGTGAAATGCTGAGCTGGCTCAGAAGACACACGTGAATGCAAGAAAAATGTGAGTAAATACAACCTATTTGAATTGAACTAGAGCTTGATTGATTGATTGATTGACAGACAGACCGAATTTCCAACTAGATTCCTATTGAGACCCTTGACGACCTACCAGATGATCATCCTAGAGTTCCCTCTAGCAAAGTTTTGTCAAAAGACATAGACCGTGGCATGGCATTAGTTCTAGCTCTCATTTCTTGCTTTTCATAGCTAACTGCCCAGACAAAGAAGGTCCGAGAAGGCTCAGGTATGATGAAGTCTCAATCGATTCTCACTACCGAATCGATTTCTCCCAAGGCTAAAGAAAGCACTGAGCCTACTCCGAAAATGCTATGAGAAAGAGGATCTGTTGGTTTAGGAAAACTAAAACTTTTGGTTCATGAAGAAGCGGCCCCTTCGCATCAAGATAGTCAATCGAGAGGGGTGTTGGGGTCTTCTTCCTCAAATTGGTTATCAGTGAAATGACTCTCATTGGTTGGAAGTACCAAAGACTCCCTAGCTTCCTGAAAACTAAAGTAAGAGCATCTTCTTCTTCAATTGAGCTAACAGCTCAAATAGCAACGATGGTAATGACGATAGCTTTAAAGGAATTGCTTTAGGGATTGGATTTTGATTCCTTTCTCTTCGAGGCGAGGCATATGAATCTTATCGATATGCCACTAGCTCAGGAAAGATAGACACGCACACCCCCTTTCATTACCATTACCTGCCTTTCTATCTTAGCTACCATGCCCGGCGCCGGGGAGAGACTGGGAGTGCTTTCGAGAACAAGAACACATGCACCGGGAATTCATCTGCAGAACAGCTCCATTGCCTATCCTCTTTGTCCCAAATTCGTCTCCTTGCTCCCGAAAATCCACTCAGAGAATCAATATAAGATAATATAAGAATAGCTCCTCCAGTAGCCGGACTGTCCCACTTTTTTCTGACCTTCCGGTTCTGAATCCGTAGGACACTTCTCTGTTCTCATGTATACCTACACGAGATCTCGAACTTTAAACGAAACATCACTCTCCTCTTTCTTTTAACTTTCTCTCTATCTTGGGGCCAAACTCACACTTTCTGGAGCTATAGCATACATTGAGCCAGCAGAGAGAGCCTTCTGGAATAGCAAAAGCCTTTGCCTCTATAACTGCCTCAATTCAAAGAAAAGAGAGACATTGATTTCGCCCTTCCTTGTTGAAGGGTTGGGTTTTGGTGAGACGTTACTTGTTATAAAGAAGGACGAATCCGCCTTTTCAATTCAATCTTCCACTTTATTTCGGACAGTCAAATATAAAGACTCTTTGTTAGCTCTTCGTGCCTCATTGACTTCGGATTCAAACTGAACTAAGACTGAGACTGTCCAACTAGAGTATAGCCGGAAAGAGCTCTTTTTGTATTGAAAGTGTTTTCAAATAGCAATCCATCGCGTCGGTAATAAGACTTAGAGTAAATGAACGATTCAAGCTCCTTACAAAAGGCAGTTCAGCTTGATAACTCGATAAACTATATTGTTTTGACAGAACAAAACCACTCTTCAAAGGTGGGATCGATCCCAACCTATTCTTCTTAGCCTAACAGTCTATTCGTGGAAGTAAATTATCCAAAAAGTCTCCTTACTAGACCTAACATCCTGTCCCCGCCTAAGAACTTGAGAAGCATTTTTTGTATAGGTGGCACTGGACAAGCTCTTAGGGAATAATCTCTTTCTTCTTTATAACTTTTTTTTTTCCCAAGACGATCTATGGGCGGAGTTGGAAGTATTCTCTAACCATAATAAGCGACTGGGCGATTTATTGCCCGAACTTGTGTTCTCCTCTTTTAGAGAAAGCCTAGTTAACGCATCAAACAATTGAGCCGGAAAGCATTTTTACTTGTTTCATTCTTTGAGTTGACATAGCCTGCCTACATGGCTATTAAGCAATTTATAACTAAGTTAGCAGGAGAGGTTTAGCAGCTGCTGGATTGAATTTTCCTTCTTGTATGTTGACATAAATCAAAAGTTAAGCCACAAACCAATGCCTTAAGCCCTTTTACGTTACGGTTTTTGAGATAAAATATACTCGGTCCACTATATCTAATTCTTTTTCGAAAGATTATAACACTCAAGCAATTGCCCCTTACTCTATTCCTTTATAAGGTCAGGAATAGCGATCTGGTCTAGCTTAGCTCATGAACTCCTAAATGAGAAGATTCCTAGCTACTTAGACTTGTAAGACAAGAGCGACTATCAAGACTAGAAAAAGAACAAGAAGAAGTACTATATGTCCAGCGCGCAGGAAAGAGAAGACATGACAGCCTGACTTAGACGACTAATGACTTCTCCGACGCGAGCTCCTACTCGTCTTAGAAGTCGAAATCGGCATCGGGACTCTTTGAATAAGAATAAAAAGCCCATAAACACAGCACTCGTTACTAGCTTCTTCTCTGTCTTTAACTTTAAAGTGGTTCGGATGCTAAGGAAGCAAGTCCTACGTCCACTGTTATTTTATTAATGATAGAGGTCAGGTCGCATTAGCTGATTGACTTACAGATGATGGTACAAGCGAGTGAATGCTATAAATTATAGAGAGAGAGTAGCTAATCAAGAGTAAAAATGAGCGAATCCCTTGAATGAGAGAGGAACTCTCAATTTATAGTGGAATGTATTGAGCTAATGATTACTAGATCTGTGAGTTGGTGGGATTATCCGCGCAAATCCTTCTTTATGTCACATTGCCACCTTCTAGAGTGATTTGCGCAATTTGGCGCAGGGATTGGATACGTGGGATCACCACAACTTCTGGCTGGTCTGGCGCGCACCCACTATTCTAACAGAAGCAGGCTGCGGGTGTACCCATGTTCTGACTTTTGCATGCTGACTGGGCCTTATGTCAGCTCTATATTTTTCAGGCATAACATAAGTCCCCTAGTTTTTAAGGTTTGAGGATCGAACCTTGGAAACTATAAGCCATGCCACGATTGGATGATTTCAGGAAATTTTGGTGATTCTAACCTGTTTGAAAATAGGTCGGGGTAGCATTCTTTGCGAACACGGCCTCGCATGATCACTGCTCGCTAAGGATGAGCGACCTGACTTCGTCAAGCGTCACCAGTTGTGCTTTTGGTATGGGTGCATTTAATGAAGCAGTCTCTGCTCTGACAGACGTTTCATGTGAAAGAACAGCATGCATGAATGAAGAGTGGTGGAAATGGAGAAGAAAGCATAAAAAATGGATTCAAGAAAACGGTTTTAAAAAACAAAGGTTGAGAAGAAATTATACATACTCCTTTGCTTTGGATTGATGAAGATTAGCTTCAAAATGATGAAACTTCCACACTTTAACACCACCTTGAGAGATTAGAGAGTGACCGTGGGTTTGAGAGAGAGTTTTGGTTTGTGTTTTTTGTGAACTAGTCAAGAATGAACAAAAATGCAACCTTTTGCACTTATATATACTTGGGCAATATTGCAATTATTTATTTTTCACTTCCAAGCCCAATAAAATCTTATTTTATAAAAGGACCCCACGAATTTAATATGCTACCCTTTGAATAATCAATATTATTCAAGGGCCCATGTAAACTAAACTAGTTTACATTAACAACCCAAAAATTTACCCCTTTTTACCCTTTAACTATTAAAAGGTTATTTTTGTTCATCTCATTAATCTTAACACTTTAAGATATAATAATTAAATATAATTAATTATTGCTTGACCATTTTAACCCTTAAAATGTCACAAATGATTTCTATGTAACTATTACTATAGAAATCCCGTTATTACCCTTGGAAGGTGCTAGCCCTCTTCGGATAATCATTTCTCTCTCTCATCCTTCTCTAACTTCCCAAGGCTATTGGTGTGACCATGTAGGTCCACCGTGGATTAGCCGTGAGCCGGTTCTGGATGAATCCGGAAACCTGTCCGGAGGCCCAACGACTATGGTAAACATCTAGCAATGTGCCATAGTCCCTAAACCACGATGAAGAAATACTTCATCGAACCCATTTCAGAT